GTAAAGAATATATGTATTTATACTTTAACCTTCTTAATAAATCAAAAAGTCATGGCATGACTGCTGAAAAAAAAAAATAAAATAAAATCTTAGATCTCACTCTAACTCTAAAATAATTAAAAGTTATTTTTTGTTTTTATAAAAATTTATTTTTTTGTTTTTGTTACACAAATTTGCAAATTAAAATAATACTATAGTGTTAAATACTATAGGTGCATTTTATAATATTTATAAAAGTTAATAAAATCACATAATATATTTAAAATTTTCATATAATTAGAAAATAAATTCGCATCCATCGCAAAATTGACCTCAGTTCACCAGATAATTACCCTATAGCATCACATAATCCTGAACACCCTAATACTGGCTAAACTTCTGTAATGCCGGTATTTACTTATCATAGAGAAAATTACCAAATTTACCAAATTTATTAATGTTAAGAGTTAGAGCTAAAGATATAACATATAGCAAGATTTTACATTGTATTAGAACATAAAGAAAGTTTTATTTTTTATCTTCACATTATAATGTGGTTTGAACCAGTGTTGGCCGATGACCTATATGACCTCTATGACCAGTCATAGGTTATTTGGTCATAATGAATATTGGTATAACTTATGACCTTTTTAATATAGAAAAATTTATAGCAAAAATTTTTTTACTATGATATCATTTAATGTGACCTACGTATATCACCTATGACAAGTCATATGATTATATGGCTAAGGTCATATTAAAAAAGGGGATTGCTACGGACACAGCTTTAAGGTTAGGGTTAGAATATGGCAGAATTGGGGGAATTATATCACGTGCTAATGTGTCCGTAGCAATTCCCTAAAAAAAAAAATGGGATGACTAGGTCATCGGCCAACACTGGTTTGAACACAATTATCGGCGTCCTACTTTTAGCAAAAGTACAGTAATTTCTTCAAATAAAGTTGTTTAGGAATTGGGATTTGCATGACTTCACCTTATGCGACGATCATTTGGAGAATGGATAAGTGAAGATTCTTTTTCCCTATGTGAATTTAAGAATATAAAAGGCCTTGTAAAGCTGAGTTCCTTAATTATAAAGCAATTTATTAAAAAGGACGAAATGCAATCGTTGTATCCACTGATACTCTAGGTTAATGTGATAAATATTTTAACCAATATATTTAAACGTGCGTCTCTCTTGAACTTTCACCACTATTTTGAACAGCTCTCAACACTTTTAAAAATCTATCTCCTTTCTGCTTAGGTTTTTTAACTGATGGCAGAACATCTTTCACCAATTTTTTCTTTTTCAGCTTCTTCAATCTTTTATCTTCTTTCCGTTTCTCTTTCATATCAGCTTTAAATTTCGAAAGTTTTTCCAATACTTTTTTATTTTGTCGCACCGCTATTTCAGCTGTAGGAACGAATTTTGAATGAAGGATACGACGAATCGATTCAGGAGATATTTTAAATTGTTGTGACAATTTTTTGGGTGTATTTTCTTCCGGTGACTATTAAAAAAAATTTTCATATAAAAAAAAGAACTTTCTAAAATAAAAAATTCTAAATTTTCAATATATATTTTTTTTTTTTTTTTTTTTTTTTTTTTTTTTTTTTTTTTTTTTTTTTACCTGATGATGCAACAACCGAACCTTATCCATAACTTCCCTAGGAACTCTTTTACTCGGGCACCATTTTTGAAACATGGTTCTCTCTTGAATTGCGTATCTATGTTTCAACCAATTCGGTAAATTCTCACGATCTCTCCAATTCGGATCGTAATCCTTTGGAAATATATTTTCATTTACCCAAAGTTTTTTTAAATCTACAAATTTTACTCTATTATTGGTAACCTTTTTCTGATTAGATAAAGATGATTCATTACTTAACGTGGGAAGACCATGACTTCTTTTATTTATCATGTTTAATAAAAATGCACGTCTATTTAATTTAGAACCGTGATGCAAAGCATCTTGATTATTTATGTGATCAAAAAAAGTTTTGGGGTTCTCAATTAATTTTGGACTAACAAATGGTTTTTCGGATGGATTTTCTTTTTTAAATGTTAAATATCTTGACAATGGCTTGTCATTTGATTTTCTGGTCGATTTTATCTAATTAAATTGATATCACCATACCACTGGTGCCAACACCAATGTAATATGTAATTTCAAAAATTTACTAAACAAATAATAACTGGTTTTCTAGGTAAAATTGTTCAACATACCAAAAAAATCTTTGGTGCAATGAAGATATTTTTTGAAATACTGAACAATTTAAAAAGAGCACCCAATTATACTCATCAGTAAAATTTTTAATTACATATATTATGGTGTTGAACACCAGTGATGTAATTTAAATTTATTAAATAAGATGTATTAATATTATAATATAAACAATACAAGTCACTCTCTTTATAGTGAAGAATCCGTTCCATTAAATAAAATTTTCAAAAAATTTACTATATCAAGGGAATTTATATAAATTGATTTGAACTTCACTATATCGAGATTTTAATTACGTGACTTGTATTAAGCTAATGTAGAAAAGTTAATTACTTTCTCACGAGCAGTTATCCTTCTAATCGCATTTTTAGCATTTGTTGGTCCTTTCAAAAAATCGCGTGGGCCAGTTTTAAGAACCGATTTAACGTCTCTGATACTTAATAATCTGCTTGTAAGTTTAGTTACCATCCCTGATAAATGGGATAAAAAAAAAATCTAGTAAAATACAATGTTGGTTGATAATCTACTGTAACACAGATCGGATCGATATTGCATGATCACGTGGAGAAAAATTTTATAGATTAATTTACCGTAACATCATAACAGTAAAGAATTCATAATGTCTGCAGAAACATCACCAATAAAGAAACTTAGCAGAAAGGAAAGACAGAAAGTAATGATTGAATTTTATATATTTTTAATTGAAAATGATGATAAGAACAATTATTTTTCCATAGCAGATAATTGAATTCAGTTTTTGAATTCCATCTGTGATGTTGGTTATAATACTAGTCATAGTTACACTGATTCAAAAATATTCGAATTTTTAAACGTATATTACAGAATCTTTTGGTCACTAACATAGTCCTTTAATATTTATAGCTTCGAGAGGCAACTACGGGTCCTGGCTGGTTTGATATGCCAAAACCTGAATTAACGACTGAGATAAAACGTGATCTTCAAGTGATAAAATTAAGGAATGTTCTTGATCCGAAACGGTTTTATAAAAAAGATAATTCAAAGGGGATTCCAAAGTATTTCCAAGTATGAATAATTGATTTTCGTTTTTTCTCCAAAATAATTAGTATTAACTTTTTACTGATGTCGCCTTCACTTTTTTTTTTTTTTTTTTTTTCGATCTTAGATTGGAACAGTTATTGAAGGACCAACGGAGTTTTATTCTTCTCGATTGCCACGTAAAGAGAGAAAGCAAACAATTGTTGATGAATTAATGGCAGATGAACAAGCTAAGCAATATTACAAACGCAAATTTTTGGAAATTCAGAAGGTGCTTTGTTTGGGTATTTTTTATTTCAAAATATTATATATTAATTACTAATATTTTTCATAGTCGAAGCAAAGTGGAGGAAAAAAACATTATAAACAACTCAAAAAGAAAAGGAAACCGAATTGGGAAAAGGGATTTTAACTTTTTAATTTTGCTTGCATAACTATCATAAATATCAAGGCACCCTTCATTAATTTTTAGATCTCAAAACCATACCTGTTAAGTATATAAATTTGATATTTATAATGAATTAATAAAATGATTTAATTTAAATTTATTATTATTAATATATATAAATTTCATAATTTGCCTAAATGAGATTTCAATAAGTATCCATTGTGTTTTCTTTCTTAATACAGTAGAAAATAAAATTCACTTGCATCAAAATTATTCTCTGTCAGCTTAAATCGTGTGCGAAAAGGCAAAAAAAAAAAAAAAAAAAAACGAAAATGTAAATGAATGCGTAAATTGATTACGAAACAGTACTTTTAAATATACAGTAGCATCACAAATTTCTAGAATATTAATAAATAATAAATTTTTAGATTGATATTACTCTGTATAACATTCCGGGCTGAATTATGTCGATTATTAGCCAATGTTAACGCCAGCTGAATTAGACTATTAATATAATTAAACGGTTAACCAATCCCTAAAAAATACCATTACAAACTTTTTATCGTTGATTCTCACTTTCCCGAAACCAATATACCGAAATACTATTTCCCCGACATCACATGGGTTTAGGATTAGCATTTTGTTAACTGTAGGTATATATTTTTAGCAAATTGTCACATGCGTGATTTCGAGTAAGTGTCATGTCGGGGAAATAGCTTTCGGGAAATCGTAACCACTTTTTATATTGTTTATAATATAAATTTGATTCAAATAGACAAAAAAAAGAAACTTTCATAATAAAAACTATTTGAAAATTCATTTTGAAGCATAACTTATCTTTCATATACGTAAGAGTTTGGATCGAGTGTTCTAAAACTTTCACATTAGGGGGTTTCAAAGTTAACTGATTCCCAAAATAAGTGGGGGTTTAAATATCGGATTTGTATTTTAATTATGAAATATCGAATATGTATAAAAAATAATTGTAAGAGCGTCGTTGAATAAAACTTATTATAAAATAGAATTTTATTTGAAACAATTCTTATTTCTTTTAACTTTGAAACCTTAGCCTTTTTCTTGCTTTGACATTTATATGTTTTTTTGATGACATGTTACTGAATATCTTTTCTTATTTTTGAGTTACTATGTAGTACGTAGATTACTAAGACCAACACTTTGTATTTTTTGAATACAAAGAGTGTTTCTAAGTAATATATATTTCTTCTTTTTACTTGGTTCAGATGTTTTTTCTATTTTTTGTTTATTATTAAACTGTTACCAGAACCTTTTTTCTTGTTCTTTTCTGCATCTAACCAAATTCCTATATAATCAACTTGTTTTTTTAGATTGAAATTGTTTTATCTTTCTATAGTATTCATTTCATTAATATCTATTATATCAATATTTTCTTTACTTGCTTAGTTTAGTAATAACTTTAATTTAGTAATGTTTTTCTTTATTCTATTAATATTATGTGATACTATTTTTAGTATTTGAAAGTCTTCAACTACAATTTCTTTAGTTTTTTTTTTCAGAAGAGTTTTCTATTAGTAAACAGTCAGCATCACTGTCTATTCTTATTAGTTCAACTAGTATGCCTGTTAGGAGTAATTAAAAGCTTTCATTTCTATATATTAAATTTTTTTTTCAAGGTCTCTTATGAACTAGAATATATAGTTAAAGATATTTTCTGAATTAGGTTTCTGTTTTTGATATACTAATAGGCTACTAGATACTTGTAATTAACTTTTTTCTTTTTATCTTCTTATATTTTCTTTTTTTTTTTCTTAGTATAAGCAATTTTCTATTAGTTTTCTTTCATTTGCTTTTCATTATTAGATATTTCTTTACTCAAAAAAGATTCTGTACTGCTTTCTTGATCTTGTTTAGTTTTTTTTTCTCTTTTTTGAACTT